TGTAAGATAAAAAAAATTAGGAAAAGAAATTATAAATTATCAAGTCATAGGTCAAGAGCTTTTCTTTCAAAATAGAGAAATGCTTATTAATATAAGTTATGAATTCTACATAATATGAGAGCTATGATTGTAGTTCTCAATTGATTATTGCTTGTCTCAAACAAAAAAGTAGTAGAGATCTAAAAAGAAAGCATCAAAATTAGATTGTCTCATCAAAATAAAATGGATGAAATTTGCCATCTACAAGTGAAAATAATTCTTTATGATTATGGGATCAATTATCTCAAATAAATTATACTAATATATATTTGTATTTAGTGGCTTGAGTGATTACTCAATCAAATTATTGCTGATATAAAATAATGTAATATTCCTAATCTCAAATTGTTACAAACATCTAAGTATATTTTTCTACAAAATATACTTAGTTTTATTGTTGATAATATCTTATATTCAGATTTAACTTTGTAAAAATATCAAATTATTTCCGAACAAGGCTATCATCTATAAATTAAATTTTTGGAAGTATATAATCAAATTAATTAGTTCAAATTTAAATATTAATTTTAATTGAAATTGAAAATTTAGGTTTATTGTACCTATGCTGATCCTCGAAATCAAACGATAGTTGGAATTTGTATTGATAGCAACTGCCAATATCAAAGATTCTATTGTCAAGATTGTTTAACTGATTAAAAAGTTAATATCTTTGGAATTATTTAATGAATGGATTTAAAGACGAATTCCCAATATTTAAGATGTATAAAAGAAAGCTTAAGAGTGCAAGTCCGTTCTTGATAGTTTAATAAATATATTTATTCCTTACTTCAATATTATGATAGAATAATTAGGAATCTCTTAGATTGGTGACATGATTAAGGGTTTATGTTAAATTAAAGTTTGTTAGTACTAATTATTTAACCAACTCAAATAATCAATCCAATAGGTTAAATAAATTATAGACGAGATATTAAAAAAATTCAAGAGTTAAACAGATTATTAGTGCAGAATTAATTAAGAATTTTAAAAACCTTTAATTAAGAAACCGTTGGTTAAAGAATAAAAAAAACAGGTAAGCATCTTAACATCAATTTTAAAGCCATTAAACTTGGACCTCATAAAATAATATGCAATTAAGTGAAATGAATTGTGTTGTGCAATCACTTTTAATAAAGATTGCTCATTTGTGGTAGCTGGACGTTAAACGAAGATTAAAGTATATCAGCATAAGGAAGGAAAAATTAATCAAATATAAGTGTTAAGTGGACATACAAAAAGTGTTTATACTTTGAATTTCATGAGGAATACAAATAATTTTTTATCTGGGAGTAGTGATAAATTAATTATAATATGGTAGGTGAATGAAAATAATTAATGGATTTGTTAATAAAAATTAGATGGACATTCAAATTGTAGATTTTGTTTATTGTTGAACGCGATTCATTTATTCTAGTGATAGAATAGTCATTGTTGGATAAAAAAAATGGACTGTTAGATAAAAGATAAAAGTAGATTAGTATGGATTCAGATTATGTTTTATCAATAACAACTAATTTACATTCTAACCTTATTGTTATGAATAAATGCAAATTTATTAAATAGATAGTAATACGAAATAATATAGGAAGACAAAATCAATTGCAGTTAAGTGTGGTTCTAATGATGATAGTTTCTTCTTTCCATAATAATATTTAAAGTCAAAATGTCTGTTGGTGAATAAGAATGGCAATAATGTTAATTTAATGAGGATGAAAGAAAATAATGACTTTATAATTGAATAATCTATTGAATTTGGTCATAGTGATATTTATAGATAATTGAGTTAAGACGGAGAATATTTGATCACTTGAGAATAATTTACATATATCTAACTATATCATATTAATCATCCAATGTTTAGAAATTATAATTTTATTGTAATAATTAAAAATATGTATAAATTGTATGAGAAAATCTCCCTAAAGAGAAGAAAGAAAAAAAAATAAAGAGGTAGTTCATTCTGAATAATCATCTATTCCAAATTTACAATAATTTGATGAATTAAGTCTCTAAGAAATTAAAAATGATTAGTATCTTCATTACCAAATTGGATTCCTTTTAATTAACTTGAGAATCCAATATAAAGAAAGAAAAGAAGAATTTAAATAATTATTCTATAAAAACTTTAATGATAAAATATTATGTTTTGCAACATTTTGAATAATATTATATCTATTTGACTAAATACTGAAGTTAATCAAACAGAAATATCATAA